AGCGAGCCCACTGATTACATTTCCATGAGGAGCTAAATTGATGACAATTTCTTTGCTGGATGAGGAGCGAAGCTGGCACCTCAGTTCCCCCTTTTCCTGGTTGATGTTCACACCTGACAGGTCTCATTATGCCAGTATTCTGGCAGGCGAGGAGTGGCAGTCCCCGGTACTCCTGAAGGGCCTGTGGATTAATCCACACCTGGACCCAGCTCTGACCTCACCATCCTACCTACCCCATTTTTATTTACAGAATTGACAACCCCTACCCTTGGCATCCCCCACCCCCATTATCTTCAAAGTGGGTGTCTGGGCTCCTGCTCAGCCCACACTCGAGTTGCTGAGGGCAAGGACTGAAGGAGAGGGGGGTCCTGCCACACCCCACAACCAGCTGCACAGCAAGCGGGGCTACCCTGCTAACCAGTTAGGCAGTGGGTGGCAGGTAGGTGACGTGATTGGTCAGATCCCCCAGAGAGAAGTCCCAAAGGAGTGATGATTTGAGGGGAGCCAGAAGATGGGGAGACTTATAAGCAGGGCTCATGACTCCCTCAGGGAAAGGAATGTTGTGTAGACCCCATTTCTTTTCTGACCCCCCCCCCACAACCTTGGCTGTGCCTAGGGATCCCAGCCCCCTACATTATGCTAAACAGGTAATCAAACATCTCGCTTTGCTAATTACTGCTCAATCCGATTAAAGGCTCCTGAAGCTCATCAACAGAGGTGGAGGTAGGGGGAAGGGCTGAAGGGGGGGGGCAACCACATCTGTGATGGGGGTCTTGTCCCCAGGGGCTCTAGGAGACAGCTGAGAAATAGCCAGGGTAGCAAGACTCAGTACCTGGCAGTGGAAATGGGCAGAAGAGTTGTACCACATTGCTTCAGGGTTTCCCTCCTCCCAGAGCCCTTGTTACCCTCAGAACCCAGGCATCCGGCCATTCCCACAGCTCCATACACACACACCCCTGTCCCAGCTTTAATAAGTTCTGTTCTCTCACTGTCAATATTTGATTTCTCAGAGCCATCTCCACGGAGAGAGGGGGCTCTTCCCCTACAGCCCCCCTACCTTGGCCCTTTTTTGCCCACCCCAGGCTCTTTGTGCCCCCAACCTTCTCTGAACTAGCTGATTTAATGAAATGATATTAAAGTCTTAAGCAACTCCAAAAGAATGGTTGTTATGGTGAAGGGAGTGGGCAGGACGCCTGGGTCCCTGAGGGGAGCAAGGGCTGAGGAGGAGGGAGAGGGAGCCAGAGGCTAAGGTCTGGAGGCCCCAGTCCCCAAAGGGGAGCAGCAGATTTCGGGTAAGCTGGGGGCTGGTCCTCTGGATGGTGGTAGGAAGCAGAGGATAAGGGCTGGGGCTAGGACAAGGTGGGTAGTGGGAGGGCATTTCCGGGGTCCAGGTCTCAGCCTGCTGTCCCTGGCATCATCAGGGATGGAGAGGCCAGCTGGGGTCACAAAGCCTCTGTGCCAGCAGCCTTCCTGCTGACTACCCTGGGCAAGTCCCGTGAGAACCAGAACAAGATTCCTCTTCAGCCCTGACTCATCCCTCCTCTCCTCCCGCATCGCGCCCCTCCACAGACCCCCACAGGTGATTTGTAGCTGATGCCCTCACGGTGGTGGTCGGTGGTCACAGCCAGGAGGGAGTCTGTTCCATGACAGGAGGAGCTGAGAGTTTCCAGGAGAAGAGAGAACAGAGGCCAAGAGATGGGGAGCCAAGCACCACCCCCATCTCCCCCCACCCATCCCATCTCACTCCCCTGGGGTCCCTGGCCCAGCCCCAGTCCCCTTGGGGTGGTGGGAATGCAAGGACATTTGGCTGAGCTGATTGATGAGGGAGGAGGCAGCCCCTGGGCACTGAGGCTGCTGTTTGCTGAGCACACAGCTTCCTCCCCACTCACCAGCTGCCGCCCCCCAGGCTGCTCAATCTACCCCCTCCCCCGCCCGCCGCCACCACCACCAGCCACTGGGATCGGAGGGAACCCATGCCTGAGTTTTTGATGGCAACTGAAGGAAGTGGGAGAGCCAGGCCACAAAGGGATTCGATCCTTCTGGGACCCAGGGACCTGGTCCCCTCAAAACTCCCTTCAGGATTTCACCTTCCCTGCTACCTTTTAAACATCTCTCCCATGCTAAGTTTTCCTTCCCATTTAGTCTGCATCCTTTTCCCTACCCCCACCCAACTCCTTCAACTCATCTCAGCCAACCCCCGGCCTCCAAACCAGCCTGCCACATTTCTCCCAGCCTGCCTACAGATCTTGAAACGACTCTCTCTGGGGAAGGGGATGCCCCATGTTCATGATTCCCTTTAGAAAGCTCCGTTTTTCATTCTAACTAAATTTCCAATTGTGGTGTCAATCATCCTCCATCAGAAATTCCCACTGCAACCCTTTGCTCTATTCTCCTTTTCTTAAAACCCTCAACGCTGACCACATACACAAACATAAACACTTCAACTTAATTTACATCCTGCTTCTGTTTGGAAGGATAGAAAAGTCTGAGCTTCCATCTGCAGCAGAGCCCCCAGGGCAGCCTCCATCCTATGCTGGGTGAGGGCTTTACCTTCTGTGGTCCGCAGCTCTCTCAGATCCTTTACTTCCACTCTGCCTGCCTGCTCTGAACTCTGTCCCAGCAGCTCAAAATCTCAGGGCATCATCCCTGCCCTCCCAGAGTATAAAATTTAGTTGAGGAAAACACAACTCACATCTGCACAAGAAACAAAGAGGACAACATAGAAGACCAAGCTTCCTAAATGTGGATTCTTCCTTAGTCATTTGCTACCCTGCAGGCTGAGGCTGGGGAAGGACAGGACACATCTAGAACACGTGTGTGGCTGTGATGTATTTCTCGCTATTCCCAAGCCCACCTAGATTTCCCCTCTGTGCTTCGAACTTTCTGTTCCCTCTTTCTGCTCTGTCCTTCCCATAGTGTCTGCCTTCCTTGTGTTCGTGCTAAGTTGCTTCAGTTGTGTCAGACTCTTTGAGACACTATGGACTGTAAGCCCACCAGGCTCCTCTGTCCATGGGATTCTCCAGGCATGAATACTGGACTGGGTTGCCATGCCCTCTTCCAGGGGATCTTCCTGACCCAGGGATCAAACCCACATCTCCTGGATCTCCTGCATTAGCAGGCAGGTTCTTTGCCATTAGCACCTCCTGGGAAGCCTGCCTGTCTTCCTTACTCCTCATTATTCAAGGTCTTGAGCAAATGTCCCTCTTCAGAGAGACCCTCCTAACCTGAAGCATCTCCCTGATACCCTCCACCCTCTGCATCCCCTTGCTGTTTTGTTTAGATCACTTATCACTACCAGAAATTTTATGTTGTTCTGCCAAAATGTGAACTTCATGAAAGCAGAGAATTTGCCTTATTCACCTCATACTATTAGTGCCTGAAATAGTACCTGGAACCAAGTAGACATTTAATATGATGCTGAGTGAATGAATGAATAAATGAATGTTTTCCTGCCCCTCTTCTTTCTGTTATAGCTGTTATCCTGGGAGTGTGTTTGTGTATTTGAACCTAGAAAGCAAATAGGATGGCATGTGTTGTTCTGTATGAAGTCACCTGAGCTTTCAAATATCAATAGCTCAAAAGACACACAAGCCACCACACATGTGGAAGACTGTAGGTCTTGTGTTGTCAGTGTCGGGGGAGGGAGAGACCATAGATGCCAGTGCTCTGAGGGGGTGTATCCCAGGGTAGTGCAGGGACTGCAGAATGCGCTGTTCCTCTCCCCAGCTGTGCATCTGTCCCCAGGTGTCTTCCTGTCTCTCAGCATGTTGTGATGTCTCGGCTGCTTTGGTGAGATGTTTGTCTGTCACGGAGAATGTTTATCCCCACTGCTCTCCTTCTTTTCTCTCCACCTGTTCCTCTGGATATATGTGTAGGGGGAGTCTTCCTTGGCTCTCTTGCCCCCTCTCACACACAGCCCTGCCCCAGTCATGGACCCCTCCCTCGTTCACTGGGCCCTGTTGCTGGGCTCTGGGTTGCCATAGTGACGGTTGCCAAGTCCCTGAGGCTGATAGCCAGCGATGGGGCTGTCGGCTCCATCCACGCGGGAGGCTGAGGGGGGCTTCCCATTGTGTGGAGAAGGGGATGTTGCCATGACAACCAACCCCCACTAAGGGGCAGGGACCAGCCCTTCCACACCCGCCTCCAGCCTCCCCACCTCAGGCAAGCTCCAGTGCAGGCTTCGAAGGCAGGAGTAGATTCCAGACAGCCCAGCACCTGGCCTTCCAGTTTTCAACTCCCCTCCTATAGCACCTGCACCTCTTGGGACCCAGGCAGCTTGCTCAGATAGGGGGAGGGGCAGGGGTCTCACCAGATAGAGGCGGGCCAGGAGGACCCCTCGACCTCCAGGCAGATGGGAGACAGCGGGAGGGGACCTAAAGTCAGGGAGGGGCGGGCAGGGCAGAGGTTGTGACCCCTGCCGATTGGCTCCGGCGATGCTCCTGATGGCTGCTTTTGTGACTGGAGAATGGGGCTGAGTCTAGGGGGCTGGGCACCCAAGTTTTATGGGGAGAAGAGCCTGGGTTATGGGTAGACAGGGACCCAGGGGATAGGCAACTTGGTGCCTGGGTCCCTGAGTCTTCTGGACATACCAGTGCCTTGGGTCAGGGGAGGAGAGTATAGACTGAATACGTGAACATGTTTTTTCCACTCTGTTTCTGAGACTTGCTTTGAGTCTGGTACTTTGGTTTAACAATAGATACTTAGGCTTTCTCCCATGTTTGAATGTATATTCAGACAGCCCCAATAGGATGTATTGGCAACTCCCACTCCCACCTGGGTTTTTTCTCTCCCTCCATTGGCAGTGGCTGCCTTCCTCAGTCTTCTCACTCACCGCCTTATCCATCCCATCCCCTTCCTCCAGCACATCATGCATTATCCACCTCAGTGATCCCACCCAACCCTCTCCCTTGGTTTCATGCAGTCGAACCCTCAGCTGGAAAGTCATTCTAACCACCAGTTCCCCATCCCAATTCATGTCCAAACATTTTCCAGCCTTCATGTCAACTTTTCAAGTTTTTTATTCTTTTTTTTTTCTTTTGGTTTTTGTTGTTCAAATTTCCCTTTTACAGTAAAACTATTGAGATGACGGCCATATACCGCCACCTCCCCCATGGCAATATCAACTTCCTGTTCCCTGGAAGGAGTGATTAGAAAAATCAGGAAGGAGCTGGGAACTACAGCACCAGAGAGATGACCCCTGGTGGACAAAGCAACCATTTGGCTGGTGATTGAGGTGGCCGATGTGATGCCCAAGGGCAGCTCTGATCTAATGGAAATGAGCTGGGAGGAAACTGAGGCAACATCCAATTGTGTACTAGAGGGCTGGAAGAGGTATCAGCTGGTCACTATGAAAAGAGTGGCTGTTGCTAAGGACCACCATTAGCTAGACCAGTCAGTAGGCCACCATTTTGGTCACTAAGAAGGGAGCTGTGTTGAATTTGAAGGGAGTAGGATATGGAGGATATGATGAACAAGACAGCCATCTGGGTTACTGGGGACAACACATGGGTTCTTGGGGTCACCCTGTTGGGTAACAGAGACTATATTGGGATATGGAAAGGGAAAAACAAGACAAATTGAGCCTGCCACAGCAGATGGCAGTCACCTTAGCTGTCCTAAAAGCAGCACAGAGAACAGGGGAAGGGGGATCCTGGCACAAGCCACTGAATACTAGGAAGACCCTCCTCAGTCCACTTGATCTTCTTTAGAGTTAAGTTCCAGCTTCCTCCTGAAATGGGAAGTTCTTCCTGCCCCCCTCCCTTCTCCACAGAGTATGAACCATCCACCTCCCCCCACCCCCCAGACTAAGCCACTTCCGGTTCCAGCCAGACCACTTCCTATTTCAGAAGTGCTACTTCCTGTCCTGGATGAAGGCACTTCCAGTTCCTGCTGCACTGCTTCTGCCACTTCCCAGGCCACTTCTGTCCAGGCCTGGTCACTTCTTGTCTGGAGCAAGTCACTTCCTGTCCCAAGTGGCCCATTCAGCATCAGACCAAGTCCATAAGTGTCCCGACCGGTTCATAGCTTGCTATTGGCCACTGGGCAAAACAGCATATTTCTTCTCAGGGTAGCTGTCTTGACCCAACCACCCCAAATGGCTGGAGTAAGTATGTAGAGGCCTGGGGCAGGGCAGAGGAGGAGTTCTGCTGCCCATGCCCTGAGCTGGGGTGGAATGCCAGAGCCTTCCCCATAAGGCCCCCATTTTTGGCAGACTAAGGGGAGTGGTTGGTAAGAGAAGTCAGAAGAGGGAGCTGAGGGGAGAAATGCTTTGAAGCCCCGACCCCGGAGATGGGAGGGGCACAGGATAAGAAGCCAAGAGGGTAAGTAAAAGGAGATACAGGGAGGAGGATGCTAGGGAAGAGGAACAGACCTAGAGACAGAGGAGAGAGAAAGAAAATAAAAGAGAGGGAGAAGAGAAAAACAGTGAGAGGCAGAAAGAGGAGAAGTACCAACCAAAAGACAGACTGTTCCCACCCCTAGCTCTCAGTGGGTGAGGGGAACAAGGATCTCTGGGTCATGATCAGAGGAGGAGGCTGAACCGCTGCCTCCTCCACAGGGGAACAGGACCCAGAAACACAGAGACAGAAGGATACACACAGCCAACCAGAGGGCAGGCAGTAGTTGGGTGGATGTCTCAGGGAATCCTAAAAGTGGAGGAGAGGCAAGAGCCAGGAGGAGCAGAGGAGCTGATGGGGCAAAGGGGGCCAAGGAGATGCTAGAGGTGTCCCTCAAACCATGAATTAAACTGGAGGAGCACCCCACAAAGGGCTGGATCCAGGAGAGCCAGTTCGGAGGAGCCCTCATACCTTGTAGTAGATGTTTGGGGGGCTCTGGGGGGGCCCATCCTGCACAATGTACACAGGATGCCCATAGTCACCACTCACCTTCTCATAGTGGGGACAGAAGGGGGGGTCTGCAGCCCCACCACCCCGCAGAGCTATGCCTAGCTCCCCAGGCTCAGTCTCTCTAGGTCCCATCCCGCCTCCACCCCCCAGGCCCAGGGACCCTCCCCTCCCGAAGGAGCCAGGACCAGGGTGGCGACTCTCCGAAGGCTTGGCCCGCCGTCTCCGCCAACACATGGCACCCCCAGCCCCTGCCACGCCCAGCAAGAGCAGCGCCAGCCCCCCTGCTGCCCCGGCCACTGCAGGCATGCTGGGAGGGGGCAGGGGGCCTTCAGCACCCCGAGAGGTTGCATTGCTGGTGGGGTCACCTGGCAGGGAAGGGGTGAAGGAGGAAAGAGGGGGAGGGGCTGAAGGAGCCACCTGGGCATCTGGACACCCAGCCTTGGGGGTTCCCATGGGCTCAGGCCCTTTGGGGACCCCAAGCCCTTCCCCTCCCTGCCAAGCCCCATTCCGAATCCAGGTGTGTCCAGCCCTTCAACCCGTGCCAGGCAGTCCTCCCCCCTTCTCTGACAGTGCTGATTGAAGCACTGACTTGGCTAATTAGTTCTAATTGAGTCTTTTCCTCATTTGGCTTCCATTCCCGTCCCACCCTCCCATCTTCTCTTCTCCTCTTTCCTGTATCGTTGCCCCCAAAACTGCAGAGGGAGGGAGAGGGTGGCAGCAGGGCAGCTAGGGTCTGAGAGCAGAGGAGGAGGGAAAGCAGGAGGCTGGACCCCTGGTTCCTACCTGCAGTGCTCTCTTTCCCAGGCTCCAGGCTGTGGGCTGCCCCTCGGTCTCTTTCCATGGGCATTTCAGACACAGGCTTTCGGGGGGCAGCCCCTCCTCGCGGACCTGGAGATGGGGAAGACCCTGAGAGAGGGGCTGAGACAGCAGCACCCTGACCATGAAGATACCGCCCCAGCCTCCTTCAGCCCTTAGCAGGAGTGCCCCAGCCCCGCTCACTTTGTCCCACTCGGAGAAGCACCTTCATGCCTCTAGTGAGGCACACACCTCCCTGCAAGCTCTCCAGGCCTTCCCGGGTTCCATCCGATGTGGCTGGAAGAGAACCAGAGGGAGAAGTTGGTGCTCAGAGCTACCCCTATTCCATCTCCACGCCTGGCCCCAACACCACCCGAGGTGACTCCAGGGGTCCCTTCCCTTATCTGCCCTCAATCCCAGGGGTGCCTTCCCACTAGACCCTGCCCTCTGCCCAGCAGTACCAATTATGTAGTAATCGTGGTGTGAGCGGAACTCGTGGCCCCAGAGGTTAGGGCTATACTCCTGGAACTTGATGGTGAAGCGGAGATCCAGATCTGGCCGGTCACAAGTGAGGAGGAGGTTTGGGGCAGGGGGTGCCTCACAGCGCCGGCCCTGCGCACCCCCTACCAGATACAGCTTGTAGAACTCGTAATTAGGAGAGGAGTGGGGACCCGGAGGCCGGGCCCGGGGACAGAGCAGATCTAGCCGGTCCCCGATCTGAGGGTAGAGCACGTAACCACCCTCTGCCTGGAACCTGTGGGGAGGAGGGCGAGGTGGACAAGGATGAGAGGTGTCAGAGGCCTGGTCCCGAAGCTTTGCCCTCCTCACCCCTCACCCCTGCAGGACAGCCTTTGTCTGAGTGGGGAGTCTGTTCTGACAGCATAGGCACTAAGGGCTCTGGAAGCTCACGTCAGGGAAGCAGCAGGAAGCCCGGCTCAGAGGTCTCCTGCCCCTTGGTGTGCCCAAATGCACTCTTCAGCCCGCCCTCACCACACGCACACTGCCATCGCTCGCTCCATCACCAGCCCTGTTGCCATGGCAACAGGATGCCAGTTACCAAGGAGCTGGCCTCTCTGGAACCACACAGCCCACCCTCCCAGGTGATTTCACTATTCCATGGCAGTCAACGATGGGGGCAGAGCCTCCCCTCCCCCAGGCCACCACTGAATTTCAGGGATTTCAGGGCATAGGGGGCAGGATGGGAGGAGGGTATGGAAGGTGATTCAGTGACCCAAGTTGGCCAGGCAATGTGACAGGAGGCAAACCTGGCATTGGCCCTAAACGGGGCTAAAGGGAACCAGGGTCTGTGGGCCAGATGCCCCAGACTTTACCCTGCTCAGCACCCATCTTCCCCCAGGTCCCGTACTTCCTAGGGAAAGTGACCTATTGCTTTGGAATGGAAAGAGCTGACTATTCTACCCACAGCTGACACAAGCCCACGTCTCCCTTGGCCCCAGTGGCCACTAGCCAAACCTCCCAACAACTGCAGACCCTCCCTGTGCATGAATGGCAGAGAGGGTCTCTAAACTTGGTCACAGGGGACTGCTGCTGGTATCTTCCCAAACTCCCTCCCATCCAACATCCCAAAGAGCCCCCAGAACACTCTAACTCCCTTTTCTCAACTCTATCAGAATAAGCCTAACATATCCTCACACTGCAGTTGATACTCCAGCTGCATGTGGGAGCCGGTGGGTAGGAGACTGAGAGAAGAAAAGATATTTGATATTAGACCCCAAGAGAAAGGGGAGGGAGGCGGCCAGGCCAGGGAAATGTGACGGAGACCAAGGAACAATCACCTTTGTTCTCCTTTAATGAGCTTATAATGTGTTCAAATACCTTACCTCTAATCTTCATAAAGGCTGTAAGGACTGAGGATACAAACTTGGAAAGGTTAAGTGACTTGCCCAAGGCCACACGGCCCAAAGCCACAGAGCTAGGATTAAGACTTAGAAGGTTATGAGCTCCAAAGCACGACCTCTTCCCATGGCCTCACACAGCCTCCCCGCGTAAGTAGGAAGTTTTCAAGGCCCAGAACTCTTGTTCATGGGGAATGAGATCTGCATGGAGTCAAGGGAACTGGAGGACCTCCCAAGGGTTCTGTCCTACTCTGCGTGGCTTGAAGTTTCATCTGACCCCTGGCCTTTCTTCAGAGCAAAGAAAGTATGCCATGGGACAGAGGTCTGATGGAAGAGCTTGCAGCAGAGATGGGGGAAGAGGCAACCGAGTCCTCAAGACTCCAGATGCAAGAGAGAACATGGGGGCTTTAAGGGGCTCCAGACTTCTTCCAGCAAGAAATCCCCAAGCCAGGAAGGGAGCAAAATCTGCTTGGGAAATTGTTCCACCAAGGGCTCACCGACCCTCTGTGGGCATAAGTGGGGAGACGGATGAGTGAAGAAGAGTCAAACAGGCATGGGCAAGTTGTCCCTAAAACCCCAACCTGAGCCCCTCCCCTCGCATCTCCACCACTGAGTCCCTTCTGGGGAAGGAGGCACCCCCCTTTCCTCTCAGCGCCTCAGCAGCACCTACTCAGCTGCTCTCCTGAGAGCTGACATTAACCAGGCTCCCTCTAAGCCCAGCCCCTGACACCACTCGAATCTCCCACAAACCCAAATAACTGCTCCCCGGCCCTCCGGGTTACCCAGGAACTTTCAAATCCTTGCCCCTTGGGGGTCTCTCAAACTCTTGACACATGGCTATCATCACCCACATCCAGCGCTGTGTGCCACTCGCGAATCTGGCTCCCAAGATCACCTCTGTCTGGTAACCCATCAGCTCACATCCACGCACCAGCACCCTCCCTCCAGCCTCCTCCCAGCTCAGAGAACCCAGCCCCCCAAAGTCCCCAGAGCGTCCAACCTTCCTGCCCAGGAGGTGTGGGGTCTCCCCAGCCCAGGGCGCTCACCTCTTGTTTGCCGAATTCCAGTAGACCGGCTCCAGGCTGAGCCCAGACACCAGCCTCAAAACCCCGAGCAGCAACAGGGCCCCGACTCGCACGCCCCCCGGCCCAGAATGGGGGGCCCCCATGACCCCACCAAGGCCTGGGGGGGCGGGGCACCAACACCCCCAAAGTCGCTCACCCCCGGGGGGTGACTGCCTTGGCCGCCCGGGCTATTCTGCCCGGCCGCCCCGGTGGCCGATGCCCCCAGCTCCCACGCGGACCCGCTTCCTGCTCCGCCTGTGCCCCCCGCTCCGGAGCGCTCAGCCCGCAGGAGCCCTTCCAGGGGCAGTCTGCAGGCGCCCTATGCCCCCGGCCCACACGCTGGCACCCCGGGATCTGCGAGAGGGCCTAAGTAGGGGACTGGGGGAGCCGGGGGCCGGGCGGGGGCGGCATGGGGCGCCAGGGAAGGGAGCGGGGAAAGGGGCACCGAGCCGGAGCCCCAGCCTCGCTGGGATTGAGGGCAGCGGGCTAAGGGAGGAAACCAGTCCCGAGCTCAGGAGGGGGGAGTTAAAGGAGAGGCGGGGAGGGGGAGAGGATGGCGGAGGGAAAAACCGGAGCTGGAGCCCGAGTCGGAGCGGGCCGCAGGATCGCAGCCCGCGTCCCCCACCCCCCTCACCTCGCGCACCTCCCGCCCGCCCAGCCGTCTCACCCCGCGCCCCGCCTCGCTCCCCTGCGCGGTCTCTCACGCCCCCTTTGTCTCTGCGACTCTCGGTCTCTGGCTTAGTTTCTGCCCACCTCAACTCCTGCCCTGGGATCGCCCGGACGGCTGGAATCTTCCGCTCTCTCAAATCCAGAAAGGCTCTCTCGCCCTCTACATCCCCGAGGAACCCAGCCCCTTTCCCTCCCGCAGCCTCCTCCTCCCCCATCCCAAAACAACACCGCTGCTTGGGAGGTCTGGAGAGCATAATAATAACCTTGAAGGCTCCGCACTTTACGGGAGCGAGCAGTGGTTTGTCTAGACTACCTGTGTGAGGTGGGAGGGGCAGAGCTGAAGGATCCCCATTGCAGTGATGAAGAAACTGAGGCTCGGGGAAGCCCTGTGACTTGCCCAAGGTCACACCGAGAATCTGGGATGAAGCTGAAACCAAACCCAGACTGCCAAACTCCCAGTCCTGGGGTCCCTTGTCACAGCTCCCCGACTCTTTACTGCTACCTGGGGGTTGATGAAAGGCAAGAGATTAGGGGGTAAACGCGGGCCTTTCTTAGATGGTTGTGGGGAGAAACGGGTCTGGAGAGGAAAAGCAGAATCTACAACCCCAAACCCGCGTTCAGCCGGAAGGGCTGTTTCCAATTATCCTGGGGGAAGGGAGGAGGCTTTGCCTTTTTGGGTGTAAGAGCCCCGGCTTTCAGCACCTCTGGGCAGAGGTGACATTCCTTGCTCCTCTCCAGTCGTCATCACAGGCGTCCCGTTCTCCCCTCAGACTGGGAGTCCACAATCAAACTCTCTGCTGACAGTCTCTCTTCAGAGACCCCTTCTCAGTGTCTGGCAAGGTGTGTGTGGAGGGGAAGCATGGAGCCACTGCTTGAAATAACAACTCCCCCCACCCCCCAACCAAAGACAGGGCAGATAAATGGGGAAACCAGACGAGTGACAGCTGCTGAATGACTCGCCCTTGCCGCGCATCTAATGGGAATACAGAACGTGACGTCTGTGGTTTTCGGCACCTTTACTCTCCCGTGTGTGCCCTTGACTCTGGCTACTCAGTCACCTGCCTCTCGAGGAGTCCAGGGGAGAGGAGGCGGTCCTCTGGCTCGCCTTCCCCCAGAGCTGACTAACGGTCCCTCTGCTGCCGAATGATGGTAAATAGTGCCGAGCGGGAGAAAGCGGGTGTCTCGTCTGTCACCGTCTGCAGTCTCACACAGTCACACCCAACAGTCTGACACGCAGCTCCTGCCACTCCTGCTCAGCCACACTCACCCTGACCCCTGCCGCCCCCACCTTGGGAGTGAGATTTCAAACAGGTTTCCCCCCTTCAGTTTACCAAGTTGCCTAGCAACCCGCCAGTCAATGGCATGAGGCCCCACCCCCCACTGGCTTGACTTCACACCAAGCTTCGCAGCCCCATTGGTTCCCGCCTAGTCCCGCCTCTCAACCCTGGTTTCAGGAATATTATGCCAGTCCCCGCTGCTGGACCCCGGAGCCCACTGGTACCGCTCCCAGCCTCATCTCCATCATCTGCCTCCCCAAAGAGACACAAAGACTCTAGTATCATATAAAATCTTTTTATGTAAACTCGTCCCCACCTCCTTCTGTCCCTCCCTGTCCCATCTCCTCCTGGTGAGCATTTGAGATGCTTGTGTCTGGGCACCCCCCACACCACCAGAGCTGAAGCTGACATTCGACGTGCACGTGGCGCATGGAGAGCAGAGGAAGGTCCACTTCCTCCCCCTCCTCATCCCCACTCTCTGTGGGCTCCGGAAACACACGCTGCCCGGAGGCAGTGGCCAGCAGAGGCAGGCTAGGGTGCAGGCTATAGGAAGAGATGGGTGGCGCTGGTCAGTTCCCTAAGCCAGGATGCCCACTCCCTCAGGTTTACCTCCCTCCCAAACCGAGCCCCCAAATGTGCAAAATTGACTCGTGACCTCACGCCATTGGTACAGTCCTTCTGGGGCTGGAAACTCAGCACTGGCTCCGGCTTGCTCTCAAGCCCCGCCCCGCCGGTGGACCACACAGAGACAGCCCCGTTAGTGCTGCCGCTCACGAGGAACTGCCCGGTCCTGGAGGAGAGAGGAGAGGCCTGCCGGCATGTAGTCATCACCCAGGGCAGGAACCCTTCACCATCAAGGGCTGGGATCCCGCAGTTGGGCTCTGGCATCCCAAGGGCATCAAGGCCCCGGCAAGGAGGGCTGTCAGTCACTCACGGGTCCAGATCAAAGTAGATACGCTGATTGGTGGTCACCTCACGGCTCAGGGACCACAGTGGGTGCCCAAGCTGCCGAAGATCCCAGCACAGAAGCTCAGCATCCTGAGGACAAAAAACAGGAGCCTAGAATCCACCCTCCACTCCCCTGCCTCCAAGACACACCTGCTTCCCTCCAGGGTTATAAGCACTCCTTTAGCTGGGTTGATGTTTTCCCTTATGCCCATCTCCCAACACAGCAGACTACATCCCCACTCTTGCCTTCTACCCACTTGTTCTGGAACCTCAGAATATGATCCCTACCTTGCGGGCTCCGGAGAAGAAGCGATTGCCATCAGGGTGAAAGCAGAGGTGCGTGATGCCCCCTTGGTGTCCCCCCAGCAAGGCAAGAGGGGAGCCATCTTCCCAGGTGTACAGGCCCAGGGAGCGGCCATAGGAGCCACAGGCGTAGAGTGGCTGGGTTGGGCTAAAGGCTATGCAGGAAATGATGCCACTCTGGCCCTGCCTTTTCGCTAGAAGGGGAAGGAACAACATGGGGGAGAGGGCAAGAGTACCCAGCATTAACCAGGCTAATCAGAGGTGTACCTCCGATTCCTGTTCCAGAGCCCAGGTGCTGGACTCAGTGTCCCCCTCACACCATTTGTTTTCAGCAGGATGAAAACTTCTGATGCTCCCTAAATCTTTCTATCCCCTTCAAAGGACCGAAAGATGTGCAAGCCCAACTTTCTTCCCTCTCAAACCTCAATTTTTCCTTTTTTAAAAAAATTCCATCGTAGTTGTTTCCCCAGTCCAACACCTAATAAGCATTCAATTAATTTTATTACTTTTTTCAATTGCTTTTATTTTTTCCTTTGGCTGTGCATGATCTTAGTTCCCTGACTGGGATCAAACCTGTGACCTGTGCAGTGGAAGAGCAGTCTTAACCACTGGACCGCCAGGGAAGTCCCCTCAATTTTTCCTTGGAAGGGTCAGAAAGTTGAGACTTATAGGCAAATGGAATCAGCTTCTCCAGTTTCTTGGAAAAACCAAGACTTTGGGAACCAAGAGGTAAAGAACCGACAGGGGAGGGGCTCGGGAGTGAACCAGCTCTTGACTAGAGTTTGACCTTGGGAAAGTTTTATCCCCTCCCTGAGTCTGCTTTCTCCTCTGCCTACTGGATACAACCTCCCAGGGCTGTGAGGATAACAACCCCCCAACCCCCCACCTCCGCACATGACCACAGGGCTCCTCTGCTCTTGGCTGGGCCCCTTTCTCTCCTCCCTTGGAGGTGCAGACTGCTTACCAAACGTGGTTCGGACCTCGCAGTCTCGGCCAGGCCGGGATGTGGAGAAGACACGCACAGTCCGGTTGAAGCCACAGAAGAGCTGGGAGCCATCCGGGGAGAAGCAGAGCGAGTGGGCTGCCGTCAGCTCATCCTGGGGGAAGGGAAGGGCTGGAAACAGGCCTGGCGCACAGCCTCTTCCTTCTCCAGGAAGGAGAGCTGGGTCAGGGCAAGCCCTGGGGCTGGGCAGAAAGTCCCTACCAGGTGATTATAGGAGCGAAAGGAAGCCCGGAGCTCTCCGGTGAAGGCATCCCAGATGTGAATTGGGTTCTCCCGGCTGCTGCTGGCCACGCTGAGAGAGACATGGACACTGAGGCCCTGGTGCTGTCAAAGGAAGGGGAGGAAGCCAACTGACCGGCCCTCTCAGCTCATATCTGAAAGGCAAAGCAAGCTTCCCTCCTCCTGAGACCCCCAACAGCCCCTGGCTGTCTCTCAGTAGAGGGTCCTCTTAAAACAGGGGTGGGGAGGGAAAGTAGGCAAAAGACATCACTTACTAGGAGGTGTCCGGCTGAGTTGAAGACATCAGGGAATACCAGCAGTAGTCATAGATGGTGTCGCCTTCCACCATTCGAAGGACGGGGGCCTGGACAGAGATGCAGAGATGCCTGGGTCACTGGTAGGAAAAGGAGGCCCACTCGGACCTGGAGCAGCTTTATGGCAGAGGGAGACACTCTGTGGGCACTTAACCAGGCAGGGGAAGGCAGATCAGGCAAATACAAGAACAAGATCTTGATCTCCAAATTCAAGGCTCAGCTAAGATTTTCACATTAGACTTGGGCCACTAAACACCATACAGATTTATCTTTTTGCTTTGTCAACACTTAGAGAGGAAGAAACAAACAACACCCCAACCCAGAGACAAAGAACCAGCCAATGATGCAAATACCCACCAAGCCATCTACAGGTGCCATTGGATCCTTTACAAAAGTTATCGATCAGTTCAGACAAGCAAAGAAGTATTAAAACAAAGCCAAACCAAACCCTGTGAGGCCTCCACTCTGCTTAAGAAACAAAATATTTTACCAAACAGTTAAAAACCTCTTCCCAGTGAAACCCTCCTTCAGAGGGAAACACTATCCTGAATTTATCATTCTTGTATACTTCTTTAGGAATATATTCATAGAGGAAAGACAATATATAGCATGGTCTTGCTTGCATTTAAACTTAATATGAATGGTACCAAGCTGTAGGCATCCCATCGCGATTATGAGATTTATGGTAACAAACTTAGCTCGAATTCATGCATTTTCCCTGCTTCACAGCACTCCATTCACGCATCCTTCTCTATTGACAGTCACTGATGTTTTTCCAGTTTTTGGCGAGTGTGCTTTAACAATCTGGTACACATGTGGGAGGGATTCTCTGCAGTTTCTGCTACCGAGGGAAACCACTGGGCTCCACGGTATGTGCTCTGCCAACTCTACGAGATTGTGTCACATTTTTTTTCCCAAAGTGCTCATCCCAATTTATTCTCCCCACAGCGGCGTGTAGGAGCACCCATTGCTCTGCCTTCTCTTGCTGTTGCCAGACTTCCATATTTTTCTCAATTTGAAGGCTGTGAAATGGTATTTCATTACAATACAAACTGGCATCTCTCATTACCAGTGAAGTGAAGACATTTTTCCGTTTAAGGGCACCTTCTCATAGTTTTTGCTCAGTTTTCCCCTTGGTTGTTGTCTTTGACTTACTGACTTGAAGGAAATCTTCACATCAGCAGGATACCAGTCCTTTGTCACTTACTTGCTGGCCCTTGGGGTGATGTCACCCAGCCGTGACTGCAGGTCCACTTCTCCACTCTTAACCCCTGCATCTGACTACCTGGAGGAAAGTTCCACTAGGGCATCACAGAGGCTCCTCAAACTCAGTTTAGCATGGATAGACCCATCCTCTGCTGCCTCTGATCTGCTGCTCCTCCCGGGTTCTCCACCCGATTCTCAAGCCTGAAGTCTGAGCACCCTGACTACTACTCTCTTCACACCCTTTCCTCTCCTGGTCCAACCCAAGGCCAGAGCTTGCTGATTCCACCTCCTAGGTTCGCTTGAACGTGTCTCCTTATCTTCGTGTAGCCACTACCTTCTTGCCAGCATTTCTACACATGCCCTGGCCTCCCTCCTCCCCATACTCTAACCTGCCACTCAATTTTCCACTCTGCAGCCACACTGAGGCCCTGGACTCTTATACCGCATCATTCTCCTGCTCAAAACATTGCAATGCTTCTCCACAACCCTCAGTATAAAACCCAATCTTCTAGGAAGCCTTCCCTTACCAGGCATCTACCCCACACTCACCTCTCCAGGCTCATTCCTCACCCCTGTCTTCTTTCCTGTAACAGCTCCATACCCCACCATCCTGACTCCCAGCTCTGAGAAGGTGCCAACTCACTGCACTCCTGGGCTGCAGGCTTTCACACACACTAGGCTCCAAGTCTGGAACAGCCTTCTCTCATTTCCCCCAACAACTCTTCCTAGTCAAATCCGAGCCATCCTTTGGGTCTCTCAGGCATTTCTCCCCATGGGAAGCCTCCCCCTCAACCACGTTCCAAATGCCCTCTGCGCCTCCACTCTGCACAAGTCAGGAATCACGTCTGTCTTACTTACCACTGTTTCCCCAACACTGGGGAATCAGCACAATCAGCAGTCAAAAGTTTTAACAGGAAAATGGAAACAGAAGACTGTCCCAATAACATAAGGCCCAAAATAATAGCACCTTGAATTAAAACAGAATGAAGTGGATAAATTAGAAAGATCAGGTGGACTTGATAGGATTTGGTAATTAATTGGATGTGGGGGTTA